CGGCCGGGCCGCCGCTGTCCGAGCTGCACGCGCAGCTGTCGGGCGTGCAGCAGCTGCTGGAGGACTTCCGCCGGCAGCTGCAGCGGGAGACGCCGGCCGAGGAGCTGGAGCTCGAGCTGCGAGCGGGCGGCGGCCCACGGGAGGGCTGCCCGGGCGCGGGCGGCGACGGCTACAGCGCGCTCCCGGACGCCATCATCCGCACCAAGGACTCCCTGGCGGCGGGCGCCAGCTTCCTGCGGGCGCCGGCGGCGGTGCGGGACTGGCGACAGTGCGTAGCGGCCTGCTGCGCCGAGCCGCGCTGCTCCGTGGCTGTGGTGGAGCTGCCCCCGCGGCCCGCGCCCGCGGCCGCCGCGCTCGGCTGCTTCCTTTTCAACTGCACAGCGCGGGGCCGCAGCATCTGCAAGTTCGCTCCGCATCGCGGTTACCGCAGCTACCGCCTCCGCCGGACGCCGGACGCCCACCTGGGCGGCCTGGCTCTCGGCGCCCGGGTCCCGGCCACCGCCGGGGCCTCCACAGAGCTGGGTAAGCGCCCTCGCGCCGACCTGCGAGGGTCCCCTGTGCCGCCCTCGAGGGCCACTATCCGTTCCGCGAGACGTCCCCTCCCAGTCCCTATGAATCTCCCTGACCAGCCCGAGAGGGTTCCCCAGTCCTTGTATTTATCGGGTGAAGACCTGCCTGGACAGGACCTCTGGGCTCCCCTCGCTCGTTCCAAGTAGTATGAGCAGCGGTGACCAAGAAAGTGGCCTAGGAAAGGTGCCTGAAAACCAGGTTAGTTTGGCAGGAGTGGACTGTTGTGCTTCTGCTGCAATTCTAGGGACGGGGCACAGTGATCTCAGAGACTGATAGAAAATGGATTTTAAGAGGAAGAGAAAAGCTCATAGAGAGAGAGAGAAGGAAAAAAAGAAGTCTCGGTTTTATAATGCATGGTTTTTGTCGGGTAATTGCAGGAGCAAAATCTAACTAAATGTGAAATTGCACCTAACACCCACTTCTGTCTCTCATCATGGCAAGAGACATGACAGTTCATGATTGTGCCTCTGTGTTTTGGCTTCATCGGGCAGAAAGGAAAAGCACTCCTTGAATTTGGTAAAGAGAGAAGGGACTTGATTTGGGGTGAAAATAAAAACGACTTGAGGGTTGTCTCTTTTTAGAAGAGATAAAAAATAGTGGCAATTGTGTTTTGCCTTCTGCAGGTGCTGTGAGTCCAGAGACAGTAGGCACAAACATTCTAACAGTCTCTAGTGTAAGAAACTGAAAGAGTAAATAAAATCCAAAAGGTACAATAGATATTGTGAAAGGGAAAGAAACTGCTCAAAAGGAAACAACTAGGATAGGGGATAGGTGAAAAGGAAGAGGAGAAAAAAATGTTATGTGTGTGAGTGTGTGAGATAACTAGGATAGGTGTACTAATTTCTACTGGTTCCTTGAAAGAACAGTTAATGCTTAATTGTCTGATCAGTTTTGCATGCTATATCTGGTAATCTGAGCAACTACTTTGAAGATAACACTATGCAATGTAACAACCGATATTTTTTATCTTGTTTTGAAATTCTGTATCATTTTTATTTTTTATTCTCTTTAAAATTAAAAAAATTCTACCGGTTGGAAATTAATGTGGCTGAAAATATGAGACGCCCCTATGGTCAAGCTCAGTTTGTCATCATACTGGGGATGCTTAATTTATAGTGACATGAGTGACATCATTAGAAAGATCAGGGAATAAGATAGCCTCAGCCATTTCCGGCATCTGGATTTCTCCTTGGAGGTCCACCTAGAAGGGTCAGGAAATCTGTCTATGATGCCCTCCCTCCCGGTGCCACTTCCACCTGAGTGGAGTTCAGACAGTAAAAGCCCACCCTGCAACAGCTTTGAGCCAGACACTGAAAAACTGGTGGGTTCCTCTCTGAAGCTGCGGCAAACAGCCTTGCCATTGGAGCCCCCAGCCCCATCTCCCCAGCCACCCTGAGCCCCGCCCCTTGATTACAGTATTACCTTGCCTCTGTGAAAGATCAGACCAAAGCACCCAGCAGCAAACAAACAAATCTCCTTCCCTTGTTTTTACAACTCATGTGGAAGAAACAAACACTGCCAAAGGAAGCTTTCCTGTAAGCCAAGAGAAAGGGAAATAAACAGGAAAAGGGCATGGTCAGGGAGACTACCAACAACAGCAAGTTCAGTTGCTAGTGCTCCAGCCACTTTTTCTCCTTCCATCTTTGACCTTTACTTCTGTAGGGAGAGTGCGTCTTGGGAATTGTTTTGTATGTATCTTGAGATAACAATGGGCTGGTGTGGTCTTTGTGGGAGAGCAGACCCAACTTCTTAGGGTACTGGGCAATGTGGAAATGCTGAAGGGGCAGTCCTGGTGAAGAGGTTTCCACCACTTATTCTGCACAGAGCATAGGATATTTATTTCCCCATGTTCTAGGGTTCCCTTGTCCAGATGTTTAACCTGCCATGGTCCTTTAGTCTTCTAAGACTAAGTTTTTCCTTCTTGCGTTCTTTTGATCCTGACTCTTTTTTTTTCCCATAATTTTAATTGATCCTGAATCTTGTGAGCATGTGGAGTTACAGGCTCAATGAGAGTGAAAATATTTTTTAGAGAAATGGTTTCCAGGGCTGGAGAGATGGCTCAGTGGTCTAAGGCACCTACTTAGAACAAGCTTGGCAAGGCATCAGGGACAGCGGTTCAATCCCCCAGCACCACATGCCAGCCGGCCCCGCCCCCTGGTGGGCTGAGCTGGCCACACACACACACCACACTCTCTTTCTCTCTCTCTCTCTCTCTCTCTCTCTCTCTCTCTCTCTCTCTCTCTCTCTCTCAAATAAATAAAAATAAATATATATATAAAAAAGAGAAATGGTTTCCAGGTTCAAATAAAAGATCACGAAGAACTAGGATATGATTGGGTGGAATGCACTAGCACAGATTTCAGGCTGAACCTGTCAGCCTGTTTATTTCCCACATTTATTGAGTTTGATGTGAGGAGCTTTTTGAAGGGCTTTCTATACGTGAATTCATCTGTCCTCACAGCAGCCCAGAGATACAGGTTCTGCTATAATCCCGAGTATTTAGGAAGGCCTTGCAGAGAGAAAGATGCCTGCCTGAAGGTCACACAGCAAGTGGGTTGTGGAGATGAGTCATAGAGCTGCTCTTGTGCTTTCTCCTGCTGAAGTGCAGCCCCTGGGTTGGGACAGACAGGAGCCTGGGCGGGTGCCGAGAAATGCTGAGTGGATGAAATGATTGAACCTTTCTGCTGCCGCCCAAAGGGAGTAGAGCAGGGTGCTTAGAGTCCTAAACCCTGAGCATGAGATCTATCTCCTCCCTTGAGTCCTTGCTAATGCCCTTGGGGCTTGCGTGCCTGCTTGCCTCCCAGCACAAATTGTTGTGAAGGCGGGCCTGCCTTGTGAGGGCAGCACAGGTCCTTGGGATTGTTTCTGGGCCCTGGTCGTGCATCTGATAGGAGATGCAGGATGGCTGGATTTGTGATGAAAGTGAGGGCAGTGGGAGGGCGTGGGAGGTGGAAGGTGGGGCACTTACAATGCTGAAGGACTGGCAGTTTAGCCTCCCAGGGCTCAGGGACCAGAACTTTGATGCAGTTTCCATGAATTTTTTGAAATCCAGTGTATCTGGGGAGCACTAGGGAAGTCAGCCCCTGCCTGTTACAGAACACCAAAGCAGGTAGGCAGAGTTCACTCCCCTCAGACCACCTGCAGGCACCCCAGCCTTTCTCTTCTGCTGCAAGTGGGAAGGTGGTTCTGAAGCTTTAGGTCAGGTGGAGGCTAAACCCTCCCCAGCTGCCTGACCAACATCCTCTTTACTTTCTCACTTTCATCTTCTCCCATTTATGTTACAAACAAGGAATTTAATAAATAACGTTAATATAACTGGTTGGCGGTGTTAAGGAAAATACATTTAGACCTATTATTCTGACCACACCCAAATTCCAGATGGACTAAATTAAGCCCCAGTTTATTCTAGAGATAGGAAAACTGAAATATAAACCTACTCTTACATACTACAGCTGAAAAGAAGATAATTTCCTAATCCATTGAAGTGGTTACTGTTATGGTTTGTGTCTAGTTTTACCCCCCAGAGCCTCATGCAGTCCTGGGGCAGACTTCTAGAGTTTGTGATTAACTCAAGATCCCCTGGATTATGGGTTTGAGTGCTCCAGCTGTCCTGGGGCAGGTAATTTACCTTACAATGTAAGGGAAGTGAAGCTAGCTGCTTAAACTGCTGCTACTCCCTTTGCTCTCTTCCTCTTTGCTGCCCACACGAAAGGTTGCTTTCTGCCCTGTGCCACTCTGCCTTGGAGCCAGCCCAGTATGGACTGAAACCTCCAGTAACCGTGAGCTGCTAAATAAACTTTTCTTTCCTTCATTTTGGGTGTTGGGTATTTGTCCCAGCAATGAGAAAAGAGTAACTGAGACAGTTACTAAGGGATAGAATGAATATATGTATTTGAATGCCTCCTTGCTTTCCTGCACAGGTTTTCATGAGGATCAAGGGTGACATGCTTTATGTATATATAAACTTCAAGAAATAAGGAATTGCAAAGAAGTCTGGTAAAATATGAAATATGAGTGAGAAAGACAAAAACGAATAGCCTAGGTGTGTGATTAAGTAGTTCCCAAAGAGGAAGTGGAGTTGGTAAACATGAAGCAATGTTCAATGTAAAAGTAATCAAAGAAGAGTAAGTAATGGGTCCTACCGGTCCCAGCAGTGGGGGCAGGAAGTCATCCAGGTAGGCTTGTTTCCGTGAATGTTGGCACTGTCTGCTGGACTGTACAGAAGTTGGTGGCCCCACGAGTGGTGGCGGCCCTGCAGGGGCAGCCTTCAGGGGTGATCTTTGGGGGAAGGGTCCCTGCATGCACCACTGCTCCAGACTACTTCCAGCTTGGGCAGATGCAGGGGAGGCTGTGCTCATCTGGAGAAGATATTTACCACATTTGTACAAAGACAGGAAGAACTGAAGGGTGATCTAAGGATACAGTAAACAGGATGGGGAGCAGAGAAGGGCTGCACTGCACCATGGCTTTTAGAAAGGAAGGACACTAGAAAGGAAGGACACCATTTCCTCAAAACTAGGATATGAATACTACCTCAACCTGTACAATTACCCTCTACTTCTGCATTCTGTGAGTTTCAGTGTGGTTCGCAGGAACAAAATAAGCCTGGGGTGTGGAAAATAAGACTTTTATATTGCTTTGGAATTGGCTATGGCCTCCAGCATTTTCACTGGGAGGAGTTTCATTTCAAAAAAGAAAGCCCTGCCACTTTCCAGGCAAGGCAAGAGCCTGTCAGGGTGGCTATGCCCACTTTGAAGAGTGGTAATGGTGGGCAGGACTGCTGTCAGTGGGACTTTGATACCTATACCTTTGCCCCAGGTGTGCTGGTGAACCCCACTGGGAGCTCCCAGTGTCCTTGTCAGTACCATTCTTTCCTCATGCTTTGTAAATGAAAGACTCCATCATTATGGGAAAAGTGAGTGTTTGCTAAGTACTCTAGGATCTAAAATGAT